ACTCTCTCTCTCTCTCTCTCTCTCTCTCTCTCTCTCTCTCTCTCTCTCTCTCTCTCCACCGATCAGCCGACACGAGATCTCCACCACGTGTTGTGTTCCGTGTCTATCTTGCTGATAAAAATCTTCCGCTGACTTACTTCACAATCAGGCCTACAACAATACTTATCACATATAGTACCGTACAGTAGAAATTGTTCAAGACGCCCATTCATTGTCTGGAAGAAAAGTCGCAGTCTTAGCAGGTTGATGTCTTTGACAATGCCATTAAGATCACCATCCGGTGCCTTGCCGACTGGCAGGGGCGATCATGGACCTCCACGTACTTCCTTCTGTCTTGTGTTGCAGCGATGGTGTCTGTGATCATACTGTGATGGTGTCTGTCGTTCTTGCTGTTCGATCCCAGCAATGTTGTCAACTTGTCCGTTTGTCTGCCTCTTCCTCTCTTTCCATTAAGATATTATTATTACAGAAAAAAGACACAAGGGGAGAAGCGGGAAGTGGCTCTTTGTGCAGGTGATTGTCTTGGACAGGTGGCAGTTAAAGCAGGTTCGATTGTAATTACACCGGTCGAAAGTAATATTAGTATGTTGAATTTGAAGAACTTGTTTTGGAAGTAGCAGGTCGGGCCAAGCTCTTTGCGGATATATACACGAATTAAGATTCGACAGTTGATTTTTAATTTGTAATTCCTACATGTATTTTGTTTTGAAAACAACAGGCTTGACTTTCGCCTATGTCATCATTACAGTTACAATAGATCTAGTTCTTGTTATAATTGACCTGTGAACTATGAAAAGGCAGCACTAGTAAAAGAATCGGGTCTGTGACCTGTGGTGATAAGATTCGTAGCTTACTGTAAGCTCTCTGTTGATGTCACTTCGTGTCTATACAAAATTGTGGATGGTTGGCGGGTGCTCTGGTTTGGTTTGCTTCTTCTTTCCTATATGAAACGTCTGTCGTCCTTATCTCCCCCTTCTTCTTTTTTATGTTTGTTACTCTCTTGTAACAACTCTAATCTTCTGGCACTCATGATCGTATGCAGTTGCGAGCACCGTAAAACTTTTACTAAAAAAAAAAAAAAGCTGTACAAAATTATGTTTTACAAGCTGTGCCCATTGGCAGGATCGGTTCAGTTCGTATCGGTTCGGTTCGGTTCCTGAAAGATGCAGCATCAAAGGCCTAGATTCCTTTTTTCCCCTGCAGAGACAGTGATTGACTTTGGAAGACCAGCTGTGGGCCTACCCCCCCCCC